ACCAGGAATATATTTTTTAGATAGTATGCGTGAAAATTTACTCATATTTAAATAATTTTGCTTTAAAATTCTTTAAGAATACTTACTTGTTTTAATAACGATGAACAGAGGCAAATTGTCCCGACGATGATTGTGGTCCGGCACCGCGACTTACGTCCTTATCTGCGTGTTTTACGCTAATCCAACCAATCACTGGTCTTGTCTCTGAGTCATACTTATTAAAACTTGTAAATTTATTAGAGAATATTAACCCAAATTAAAATAATATGAAATAAATATATCATACATAACCACCCCAAAAACTTTTCTTGGCTCTGATACCATAATTTCAATAAGTAGTTTTGCTATTGCTTATATTGACGATGTCCTAATTTTTTCAAAATCAATTGATCAACATTTCAAACATTTAAATCAATTTTATGATTTAATTTATCAAAATGGTTTAGCTGTCTCTGCAGCAAAAATGCATTTATTTAAAGATGAAATTCGTTTTTTAGGGCATGATATTGTCAAAAACACTATTAGTCATATTACAAGAAGTTTGCAGTTTTCTACTAAATTTCCTGATGAAATTAAGGATAAAAAGCAACTTCAAAGATTTTTAGGATGCTTAAATTATATCCATGATTTTTTCAAAGATTTAGGGATTATATGTAAACCACTTTATAACAGATTAAAAGATAATCATGAACCATGGACTCAAAAACATACATATATAATTAAATATATAAAACAAAAGGTTCCTACTTTGCCATGTTTAAATTTACCTCATCCCAATGCCAATATCATAGTTGAAACCGATGCTAGTGATATTGGATTCGGAGGAATTATAAAACAAAAATTTGTTAATTCAAAAGAAGAACAATTGGTTCGATATTACTCTGGTGCATGGAACGATACACAAAAAAAATTATTCAACTGTCAAAAAAGAAATTTTAAGCATTGTTTTATGTATTAAAAAATTTGAAGATGATTTATTTATGAAAAGTTTTTTATTAAGAATAGATTGTCAATCTGCAAAAACTATTTTGAAAAGGATGTGAAAAATATTATTTCCAAACAAATTTTTGCTCGATGGCAAGCCCTTTTAGGTAACTTTGATTTCGAAATAGAATTCATAAAAGGCGAAAATAATTCGCTTCCTGACTTTCTTTCTCGAGAATTTTTGCAGGGAAAATGAGTTCATCGTCCTCTTCCAAACATGATGACAAGAAACCCGTCTATCAAAAGTTTGTTCCATTTCAAAATCAAAATAGTTTTTCTCCTTTAACCCCTACTTCTAAGAATTCACAACTTTATTCTAATATCCTTCAATCAAAACTTGTTACTCCAAAAGTTACTTCAACAAACACGATAAGCCCTTTTGTAAGACCTTTTACTCCTCAAACTCAAAATTTTGTGACTCCTAGCCCTCCTACAAAAACTCCTTATGTTCTTAATCCAAATTTCTTAAGAGTTCAAATTCTTGAAGATTTTCAAATCCATAAGTTACATCAAGGTTTTCATATTCTCACAAATAATCTTTTTGGTCAAGGGAAAACCTTTTATGTTGATTCATATAAAACTCGAGAATATATCAAGCTATTTTGCAAGAATCTGGTTCGGTCATTTTGTTCATCGCTCTAATTCAAAAGAAGGAAACATTGATTTTAGCAAAGCTCACATCATCAAAATCATTTCTCCAGAAAGTTGGGTTCCAAACCTTCATTCTGAAAAACCTCTTATAAGTTATCCTGCTTATCCCAGATTTTCTTACTATGATTATCAAGATGCCTGGACTAAGGCGTTCTTTATTCGAAATTATTCACACTCATGGTTTATCTTCTTTGATTTAAACTTCAATTGTGAATACCCAAGATGGTTTATCAATTGGTATAAAATATATGGGAATTCTTCCAAATTGTTTACCAAAAGAATTTACGATGGATATCTCAAATTTAAGGAATTGTTTATTCAACAAATTCCAGAATTTGAATATATGCTACAATTCACTATGATATTCAGAGTTCCATGGATAATGTCTTGGACTTTTCATTATCAAGAAGCAAAGGATACCTCTCCTTCCTGGCTTAATCGACAATTTCGCTCAAAATGGTGGGATAAAATGAAGATTTCTCAAGCCAGTGAACAAGCAGTAATTAAATATTATCAAGAAATATATATTCAAAAACCGGAGGTTGAAGCCACTTTTATCAAAAGTCTTCCTCAAAGTGATGTGGATTTAATTTCAAGAATTAAAGATGCTGCTACCTCTTCTCCTGAAGAACTTCAAAACTTACTTCAAGAAATTCGCCAACTCCATCAGTTTCTGACGATTCTCCAAAATCTATAAAGAATGGTTTATTTCAAGACGCTCAAGACCCTTTTGATGATCCTTATGAAGAATAAGAAATTCTTAAATTTGGTGTAATACCTTCAATGTAGGGTATTTCGTTTCTTCTATTTATCAAATCCATTATTTTCAAATACGAGTGTGTATATACTGTGTAATTATACACTATATGTATTTATAGTGTATAAAACAAATATTATCAAATTTATTATCAAAATTATTTAGTCTTATCAGCAATAATAATATGAAGACAAAAAACTTTACAAGATGCTCCATAATGGATAATATGAAGACAAAAAACTTTAGAAGATGCTCTATGATGATATGTTTTATCAAAAGTTGATATTTACTGATTACAAAAGACAATTTCTTCAAAAGATGATAGTGACAACCACTTACAAATAATTGATTGGCCATTGAATCATACGGAAAGATTTCACTACAAGATTTCAAGGTTTTGAAGACTTCAAGAGGAATATAAATAGACATCATGTGTTAGTAGAAGAAAGCAAGCAAAAATATTCATTCTCTAAAATATGTTCATCCTATGTCTAAAAAATCTCCAAGAGTCTCTCTTTCTACTAGCAGATGTTCAAAGTCTCTAGATTTTCAGATAATTCTTTCTCCAGAAGTATGTACTGATTGTAATTCAAGCTTAGTTCAAGAAGGTATTATCTAAAATATTTATTCAATTGTTGTATTGCTTTTATTGACGATGATAGTTTCATTTCGAGTTGTTCTAACTATTAATTCCACAAGATTTGAAATTTTTGTTAAAAATATTACTCGTTTTTAATAATCAAATTAATCAAATTCATGCTTGAATTATTTAATTATGTCTAACAAAATCTGGATGAATTGTATTCCTAATAGAGATATTCTTTTAAAAATACAACAAATCCAAGAATCTATAAATAATTCTGAGCAAAATCTCAAAGATTCTTACAAACCTAATAATCTAGGTACGATTTTAAACAATAATCATATTCATGATGTTAGACAATTCATAAGAGTTAGTATTAAAATTCGTTACAAGCAAATACGTTATCTAAAAGCAAAACTATTTGTATTTTAAATTATCATTTATGTCTTTTAAACATTAATCATAATCATTAAGAAATTTACTACTTATTGAAATTATGGTATCAGAGCCAAGAAAAGTTTTTGGGGTGGTTATGTATGATATATATATATATATATATATATATATATATTAGGGTATATATATTAGTATATATTTGAAGTAACTTTCCAACAGAAAAAATATTAATATATATATGGAGTTCCTTTGTCTAGTATTTTGCTTTTGGAGTTTGCCCGATGAAAGCAAACAAGGGAGGTGGTGGCTTGGAGAAGCTGCAATAGCAGTGGTGGTTTATGGCGTTGATTCCGGTGGAGATGGTGAAGGTAGGTGATGATGGTGGTGTTCGACGGCGATAAGGAGCTGTGATGATGACTAAACCGGTTCCCACTGAAACGGTTCTAAATCGGTTCCCTTTAAACCGGTTCCAACATCTGTAATCTCGAACCTATCCAAACCGGAGGTTCGGTTGATCGGTTTTTCTTGAATCGGTTCACGACAAACCGGTTAACCGGTTTATGAGGCGGTTCGGTTCCGAACCGGTTTTTTTTGTGCACGACTAATACCAACTAGGGAAAGGCGAGCATGAATTTTTCATTGTCGATCCGGAAAAACACAAGAGTCTTTAACTGAGATAGAAAGGATTGAAGAATGTTTGAATCCTTCAAGGTCGGACACTACTCGGTTGTCAAATGGAGTATATGGCGAGTCAACTCATTGAGGGTGAAGACATTGCGAGCTTGGTGTCTAAATCAGCACGAGGACACTGTGAGACAGAATGAAGCGGATGAATCTGGTCAAGTGGACATCCTAAAACCAGACAAATTCTTAGCGATGACAATCCAAATGATCTTTCAGTATTGATGCTCTATGTTCTTAGCGATGTTATTTATCGTTAACCTAGTTTCATGGGAGACTGAACCGATTACAGACCAATCAATCACAAATTCGACTACGATTTGAGAAATCAATCATAATAATTACAGAATTCAGTAATCATGGAGAGAACGGAATAAACTAGTAAATTTGAAGAAGAGATATGTAAAATTCGACCGGTATGTAAACGCGAAATAATCAACTAAACCGAATCAATCCGTTGTGTGACTATTTGAGAAATCAAATTCAATACGAGGATAGAAGAACCAGAGAATAATGTAGAATTCAATAAGAATTTACCTTAATTTGCAGAATTCGATGAACAATCAAGGCGTGCCACGAACTAATTCGCAACCTCAACTTCTGCAGCTCTTTGATTTTTTGATAACCAACGGAGAGAATGGAAGATTTTTCTGGTCAAATAAGTGATTTGATTGCTGATATCATCTGATTGGCTATATTGACAATGGTGTTGCTATTCGCACCCGTTTTATATAGTCAAAACCATTTTTATAAAGTCAATACCACCTATACATATTTTTATTTTTTTTGTTTGTGAAAGTTGTTTTAGATAAGAGTTATTTGTTGATTGCGAAACAAAAAACCTACGTTTTATCCATTAAAAAGAGGAGAAATATCATCTATAACCCAATCATAAAATATAAATTATTATATTAGAAAATGGATTCCATTTGAGCCCTAAATAGAAAGGTCGTATCGCCATTTCTGTTCCCATCAAAAACCGATCAGTGTTCTCTCTCTATCCCGTTTACAAGTTTTTGTCCCACTTAGACTTTAGGTCAAAATGCTAACTTTCTCCATTTGAGTTCTTCAGATCGTTACTCGTAATTGCTTTGCCAAAACTGTTCTCCAATCCCAAATCGCAAAACATTGGCTTATATTTTTTTACGCCAACGATTTTGCTTCTAATTTGTTACCAAAACCAAAACCCCTCAATTCTCTCCTATTTGCTTGTGATCCATCCTGAAATTTCAAGCTATTGTTGTGTATATTTTTTGTTTATTTTCCTATCGATTGAGAATTTTAGGCTTTTAGATCGGCGGCTAGTTGATTGATTAGTTTTTAGTTAGGGTTGTGGAGATTTTTCGGTAGAGTTCGAAATGAATAACAACTACGCACGAGGAGGTGGGGGAAGGTATCCGCCGGGAATTGGGCGTGGTGGTGGTGGTGGGAATTATCATGGAAACCCTAATCCTAATTTCCAACAACAGTATGCTCAAAGGAATCCAGCGCACCACCAGCAGTTTCTACAGCAGCAACAACAACAACAACAACAACAACAACAATGGCTGAGAAGAAACCCTGTGGGAAATGATTCGAGTGTGGTTGACGAAGTGGAAAAGACTATACAGTCCGAAGCTGCTGACCCTAGGTACAATTATGGTTTCATTCTCAAAAACTATGTTTAGATTTCTATAAGTATGCCTTGCTTTAGTTGTTCCATTATGCTTTTCTAAGTCTAATCGTGTTTCTTCTTGCAGTGGTCAAGATTGGAAGGCACAATTGAGGCTTCCACCAGCTGACACTCGATACAGAACAGAAGTATGCTTGTGATGTTATCTATGTGCTTCTGAGTTTAATTTTGGATGCGTTACATGTGACTGTTTGACTTGAACTTTGTTTCTAATTTTGTACCATTTCAGGATGTGACAGCGACCAAAGGAAATGAATTTGAAGATTACTTTCTCAAGCGTGAGTTGCTTATGGGGATATATGAGAAGGGTTTTGAAAGGCCATCTCCAATTCAAGAAGAAAGCATCCCAATTGCCCTCACAGGAAGTGATATTCTTGCAAGAGCTAAAAATGGAACAGGGAAAACTGCTGCCTTCTGCATTCCTGCTTTAGAAAAAATTGATCAAGATAGCAATGTTATTCAAGGTTCTAAATTTAAACTTTTTATTTTTTATGGTTTTTAATATCAAAATCTTTTTTAGTGTTTTCTCTGAAGTTTCCCATATGTGCAGTGGTTATACTTGTTCCAACTAGAGAATTGGCTCTTCAGACATCTCAAGTCTGCAAAGAACTTGGAAAACACCTAAACATTCAGGTCATGGTTACTACTGGTGGAACCAGCTTAAAAGATGACATCATGCGATTGTATCAGCCTGTTCATTTACTTGTTGGTACTCCTGGAAGAATATTAGATCTTTCAAAGAAGGGAATCTGCGTGTTGAAAGATTGTGCAATGCTTGTCATGGATGAGGTACAACTATATATTCTGTATCTAATGCTCTCTAATTACATGATTTCATATAGTGTACATGTTATTTCAGGTTTTCATGTATGATAACAAAACAAAGATAGTTCTGTTTAGGCATGATCTTGATTTTTGGTTTTGTGCAACTTATTACTCACTTTTTTGGTTAACCCAACATGCGATATTAATCAGTGGTTTACTTTTTGTTCCCAGGCTGATAAGCTTTTGTCACCCGAGTTCCAGCCTTCAGTAGAGCAACTAATCCACTTTATGCCTACAAACCGTCAAATTTTAATGTTTTCAGCAACTTTTCCTGTGACAGTGAAGGATTTCAAAGATAGATACCTTCCCAAAATCTTATGTAATTAACCTCATGGACGAACTTACCCTCAAGGGAATAACACAGTTCTATGCTTTTGTTGAAGAAAGGCAGAAAGTTCATTGCCTCAATACTCTTTTCTCAAAGGTTTCATCTGAATTTGTTTTATTTATTTATTTATTTATTAGTGTGGTGTGAGTTGGAATTTTTGACTTTATTTAATTACAGCTTCAAATCAACCAATCAATAATTTTCTGCAACTCGGTAAATCGGGTTGAAACTACTGGCGAAGAAAATTACTGAGCTTGGTTACTCTTGTTTCTACATTCATGCAAAGATGCTTCAAGATCATCGTAATCGAGTTTTTCATGATTTTCGTAATGGTGCTTGCAGGAATCTTGTCTGTACTGGTATATTGCTTGCTTCCTTTTTTCTACTTTACATAATATAATACCAACCTACTTTCATACATATCTTATTAAGGCATTTAACTTTTATAAATCTGTGTAATGATAGCATTAAATTTCTTATTAGAACATTGTACTCTGAAAAATCTGCTTAGTTTATAGTTGTAAAAAATGCTTTGTATTTTGATGACATTGCTATAATAGGGTAGAACTTTTTTTTCAAAGTAGAATGTTGTAATACTAAAATGCTATAATAGACAAGTCAATGAAAGTTTGTAGTTATATCTTGCATTTAATCTTTTCTTTGAAGTAGTATTATTTCATCAACTCTATTCCATAAAATATCACATACAATGATTTTGGTTGTTTCTACTTCACAAAATAGCCAGGAGAGATAAATGCAATGTGCTTTTATAGTTTCAATGACAATGCTGTTATAAATTGGGTAGATTTTTCAAAGTAGATTGCTGTAATAGGAAAAAAAATGAGAGTTGGAAGTAGATTGTTATTTTTCGCATCAAAACAATACAACACAGTTTTTTTTTTGTTCCTATATTATTGCAGATTTATTCACGAGGGGTATTGATATTCAAGCAGTAAACGTTGTTATCAATTTTGACTTCCCGAAAAACTCAGAAACATATCTCCACAGGGTGGGTATAAATTATAATTGAAAAAGTTGCTTCTTCATTATTAAAAAACTATAAATGAATGATTCTCAAATAAATTATAATTGATTGATAGGTTGGTCGATCAGGAAGGTTTGGACACCTTGGGTTAGCTGTAAACCTAATCACATATGAAGATCGCTTTAATCTGTATGCATCCCATTACTTACTTTTTTTCCACTTTCATTTTTTTTTTTTTGACATATATCCTTCCTACATTTCATGAATCAATGTAAATTTGACAATCTTTATTATTCATCTTTGTTGTTGTTTTCAGGTATAGGATTGAACAAGAACTTGGAACTGAGATAAAACAGATCCCTCCATTCATTGATCAAGCTATTTATTGTCGCTGAAAAATTAATGAAAGGTTGTTGGGTTGGGTTGAGTGAGTTTAATAATAACCAAATCTTATATTTTAAAATGATTGGTTTTTGGTATTAATATTTTGATTTACTGAATTGAAGGTGTGAGCTGTGTCTCTGTCTGTTTAAGGAAAGGACCCTAAGGTACACATTTCATTTGGTCTCGACTTTGAAGACAACATGAATTATTTTGTGATTCAGAAAAAAACTAAGGACTTGTTTCTTTAAGAAAGACATTAGAGTTTACCTCTTTTTTATATTTTGTGACATGATATGTTTCGTGCTGTGCTGTGTTGTGTTGTGTTGTGTTGTGAGGAAGGAGTTTGGTATGTTGTTAGTCAAGTCAACCCAAGAGAAGACTAGTAGTTTCTTTAAAGACTTACTGACTTTGTGTATACATTTGGATTTGGTTGGTTGGTTGTTTTCTGGTCTTAAGATATCTAATTATCCTAATTCCTACCTTTGGGCGCTTTTTTTTTTAATTTGTATTTTTTTTATGCTTGACGGTCAGTTTACTGATGATGACCTTGTACTTGTACTGTGTTTGGCGTGTCTTGCCTTTGACTCACCCACTTATATCAATTTGACAAAAATTGCTAACTTTTATTGAGCTCTTAAAAAGTAAAATACTTGGGGAGTTAAGAGACGAAATTGCTTGTAAAAAGAAGAGCTATTAAAACATAACTGGTTCGGTTCTACTATGAATGAGCGAAACAAGAATAAAGTACTATTAATATGTTTCTGCCCTTACAAATCATGAAGAAGTCATGATTTCAAACCTTCATACAAACCAAATTCAAGGAAACGTGAGTAATAAATATAGTTGTAAATTTAGTTCTTTTTTTTTCTTTTGATACATTACATGATAATGCATTGATTTTATTAAATGGTAGTTGTAATTTTATTCTAGTTTTTCTGATTTGTTCTATATTTTATGATTTTCTACATGATCCGAATCTATAAAATTAATAGCAAACATAATCATGTTAAAATTGTATTGCATAAGAATCCATTATTTTCAACTTATAGGCATATATATAAACCCTTACAACGTATATGAATGTCTTTTAGACTTTGACTAGTTCTTTGGCTGATGTGGTGCAGATGCTCCTAGATTTATCAAAAATAATGGAAATTTGTCTATATGTGTAATCTCATACTACCTCTACCCAAAAGGTATCCTTGTCACCAAAAAATTGCATTAAATAAAATTTAAATACACTGTAAAATCATAATTTTAATGAACATTACTTGATACTTGATTGCTGAATTGTTCCAAATATGATCCCAGTTTAGAGTATTTATGCACTAGCTGCCTAGGGTATCTACCACAAAACCAATGTTCTAACATATACAATAGAGACATTCAAACTGCGTCTTCATCGGATAACTCATTAAATATGTTATTGAAGACATGCTGCAAGTCATCAACTTTCACTTAATGGAAATGCATGATTTTTCTTAACTGTATGGACGATAAATGAGCCACAAAATACTCCCCAAAGCGCAAACATGTTACAAGGCAAAAAGTTCTCTTATCAAAAGAGTGATGATAGTCGTCTATCGGAAATAGCAACTCCTCAACATCAGACAATGTATGTGTTACTACCTCCTTACAGAACAAGTAATGACATAATAATGGGTAACCTTCTACACCCACCGGTACATTGACCACCGACCAAAACAAGACGTCCTGAAAAATGTCGCATGTGTCGGGGTAGGCAACAACCTAGCCATAGATTTAAAACCCAATTTAGGTTACATGTTGTAGTGAGAAATGCATCGTAGATATCGTTCCAAACAAGAATTTTATGTGTTCTAGACTTGTTCTTCGTGTTCCACATAAGTTCTTCGAATTTCGGACTAGTCTTCGCATTCTGGACACATACCACGTGTTATGGATACGGTTTTCTAGGTTTGTATGTGTCTTAATTGTTCATAATACTAATACTTCTCACACATAATGCCTAAATGGCAACAATAAATACTTCAAACAAAATATTTTATCTAACTACGCACTAATAACACTTCATTCTAGATATTAACCTGATCAAATAATCATGCAAAAATGAAATATGCTTAAAATAATGTAACATCGAACTCTTCATCGTCAGAAGACATTTTATTCGAATAAATTTAACTCCGAAACGTCCGAAATGAAATTCTTTAAGTCTGAAATACAATTATGATCCATTTCTCTGAAATGTTATATGTAGGGGGACCACAATAAGAGATAGGGTTCACCATGTGGGTAACACAGTCATATCAGATATGAGATATGGTGTTCCAAACTTGACGGTTAGTTGCCGAAAATAAAAATGTTAGTTATTTTCTTTAAGATGTCGTAAATATATGTGGTCAGTTTAGTTAATTTCTATAAAAACATGGTTGAGGTATATTTGGCTAACACACACCCTAAATTGGGTTAATGGGTTTCAAAAAAAAAAAAAAAAAAAAACATTTAAAAGAGTTTCTCCCCGAAATCTATCCATCTTTGGATACATGAATCGCTATATTTTCGTGTAAGCAATTAATGCAAGTTGACTACAGTCCAGTCCAGCTTGCAATTCGCCGATCGCCGGTACACCATTTTCTGTGACATGTTTTTTTACACACACTCTCTCATCTGAATAGCAATTTCTCTCTCCATGATTATTGCTCAAAGCCTGTTATTGTTCTTTATTCTTCGATTATACTGTTGTTCTTTTTCTAGGTTTTCCGATTCAGATTTACAGAGAGAAAATGGTGAGAGCGCCATGCTGCGAGAAGACAGGATTGAAGCGAGGACCATGGGCACAGGAAGAAGACGACCTTCTGATCGATTACATCAACAAAAACGGCCATGGAAGCTGGCGATCTCTCCCCAAACTCGCTGGTACGTATCTCGATCTTCGTTTTTTCTATCTTTTCGATCGGAGTTCATACCATTTCTTTCTGTTGTTGATTTGTTGCGGATTTGATGTCCACCATGGAATCAACGCCATAAAGTTTAGGAAAATCTAGTACGATTTTGATTCATAGTTAATGTGAAGTACTTGATATTCAGATTCCTCAAAATGCAAAAGAAAAATCAAAGAGCAAAACAGTTTTATTGAACATTCATGATGAGCATCTTAGGGTTTCACAGTAACATACTCCCCCCTGTTCAAGAGCAGTTGGCGCTTTATCATTTGCGCGGGGATTAAACTGGTCTGAGAAATATATAAAAATACACATTTTTTTTTAAAGATTGCTTAAACATTGGGTTGCAAGAAAGCTAACAATCGAGCTCGATTTGAGAGCCCAAAATCTGAAAATATCCATCAAAACTTGGTTATTAAATAATACACCAACTCCCCCCAAACAATTAAGAAGTGTTAATCCTCTATGGGTTTTAGCAACCTTAAATTTCAAAGTGTATTTCTAATCCCATAAAATAGACAAATATGAAAAATGCATCTCAACATCAATTGTTTACAATATCTCTTCTTACATAAAGAAAGTACATATTATAAAAAAAGCCTCAAGCTATGGATCACATCTTCTTATAATGACGTACATATTATTTAAAAAATTATTAAGTTTGGAATTAAGTTAAGTGTGATATTCTTTTAACTCAATAAATTATCAAGAAATTAAATCGAACCAACATAAATAATGAGAAAAACACATGTTACATGGACCATAAAACAACACGTGATTTAGATGCAATAAATACATTTTAAATAATCACGCAAATACTCCATTTGTATCCAATACCGTCATGTGAATACATCATACATGTATATAACAAAACAATGAAGGAAAAAAAGTATGATCACTTAAAAAAATACTCATTTTGATATGTACCAAGTTTTGGAAATCGGTGTCAACTCACTTTGTTTGTGGATGATGATCCAAAACTCAATGTCGATAATGTGGTTTTTTCCACAAGTTTTTAAATACGCATTTATATGTTTATTTCATATTAATATCTTTTTGTATCATTTTATATTTATCCTTTACATTGTTATTGTTATAGTTAGTTTTTACCAAACAATATTACTTTATGTGTTAGATTATCAGCTACTAGGACCGGTTGTGTTTGACGGGTATAAGCTTAATTTCTATTCTTTGGGTTTTTATTTTCTTCTATAAATATTACTAATTTATATAAACTTTTGAGTGTTATATGACCAGATCTCTCATATTTTTTTATAGAATTTTATCATTCATTTTATTTTTGTGAATTTGATATTTTTTTAGATGCTCAATATTCCGTTGGTTTTTAATTATAGCTCTAAATGTTTTTTTATGTCATTTTACATTTTTTATCTAACTTATTAGCTAATTTTTTTTACCAAACGATATTACTTTTATTATCTGCCAGCTACTTTATTAAGCAAAACCTAATTTTTCACCTAAAAGCTAGATTTTTAGCTGATATGTCGAATAAACTTAAAAATGACAATTGATTCATTTCAATAGAAGATATCATTTGACAACCAATTTTATTGTATTTCCATATCAATAATAAACATTGAAATATTACCTAAAGGGCAAAACGTTTTTATTATGATAACCAAAATGTGAAAATTGCTATATTCAATTACAGAAGAAGGTGTTTTGTTTTCCACATGAAAATTTATGTGTCTTATCAACTTTAATTAATGATTGATAATGATTAAAAAGATAAAGTTGGTTTATCTTGTGCTTTATATATAACCAAATAAAAAAATATTACAATTATTTAAAATAATAAATGCATGTAGCTGTATTGGATGTTGCCAAATTTGATCCTATTATAGGAATAGCTTTTACCATTAATTAAAGCAAATTTTGTAAAAGGTGTTTAAACAATATCTTAATACTAGATATAGTTGCGTTATTATTTAAGATAACTAAGTTGGGATGGTGACAGGTCTTCTTCGTTGCGGGAAGAGTTGTCGTCTCCGGTGGACAAATTACCTCCGGCCAGACATCAAACGCGGTCCCTTCACCCTCGAAGAAGAAAAACTTGTCATCCAGTTACACGCCATACTTGGCAACAGGTGGATTTTATATTTTCTTGGTTTCTAGCAATGTTACAAGTTTAAAAGCACAAAGTACACCAAACCTTAGAATTCTCCTCTCTTTTCAGGTGGGCTGCAATTGCTGCCCAGCTACCCGGAAGAACAGATAACGAGATCAAGAACTTATGGAACACTCACTTTAGAAAGCGTCTCATGTCCATAGGCATTGACCCACAAACACACGAACTGTATAGTTTATATGGCTCGTCGAAACGACTCCCAGCCTCGCCTTCCACCCGCCACATGGCGCAATGGGAGAGCGCCAGGCTGGAAGCCGAGGCAAGACTCTCAATGGAGTCTTCTTCAATACTCGCGTCACCTAAAATAACCAACACCGACCATTTCCTACGTGTTTGGCAATCAGAAGCCGGTGAATGTTTCAGAAACATTAAGAGGAAGCCGGACTGCTTTAGTCCGGCTTCCCAAGCCTCGGTCTTGATTTCTGGCACTACTGAACCGGATTCAAGATTCGAAGAGGCCATAACTTTCTATCATGGGTCGAGCCCAAGTGAAGTGGAGGATTCATCTTATACCGCACTTGAGTCCTTCTTTGATTTCCATGACCACAATGATATGAGCTTCTTAGAAGCTCACTCCAATTAAAATTCCCTTTGTATGCTTGTCTTTGAGGTCTCACATTTATTCCTATAAATCACAATTTTTTTTTTTTTGGCCATGTTGGTTGTGAGACCGATTGGTAGGGCGTAACTTTAGTATATGAAAGCTCAAGTTCTTTTTTCCCAAGTCTTCATTGTATTTTAATGAGTGGTGACATGTTGTAGAGAAAACTTCATATATATATATATATATATATATATATATATATATAATGATTTATGCAATTCGTTCACAAATTACAGAGCTATGTTCTTCCTATACAACACAACAAACAAACAATGATAAATAAAACATCAACTTACAAAGTTGTAGGTTTTAGGGAAATAGTTTTTTAGCCTCCAAAACAACCAAGGGCCTTTTTTGGAACTGTGCCAGTAGCACGATATTTGGCAGCCAACTCCTCTGTTTTCAAGTGATCTTCACTTTTCTTTGCTTCAACCATTGCTCTTTTTTCTTCGGCTTGTTTGTGAATTAAACCCACTTTGTTTTTCATCTTTTCTGCATATTCTGCTTTCTTCTTGTCAAATTTCTCCTGCTCATTCATATAAAACATATGACATCTGGTAAATAACAAGCATTATGGCGGACAGAAGTAGCATTAATTAATTGTTAAGGAGTACCTCGATTTGTTTCAACTTAGCTTCTACATCTGCTTTCTTTGTGTTTTCCCATGAAGTTATAGCGGATAGCTCCTTCTGTGATCTGTTGATTCATTCATTTACAAAGGACCAACACAATTAGCTACACAAACTTAGAAAATGATGCCAAATTTGTAAAAAGTTAGGATTTGGAAAGCTTCATTTTCGTGACTTTTAAGTCATTCTTTATGCATTGAGTAAAAAACACTCATGTATAGCTTATTGGATTAAGTCCTACACTTACTTGTTTTCCACCTTTGACTTTTCACTTTCCTCCCATGCTTTGATGAAAGACAATTTCTTCTCCTTATCAACCCCAGCCAATGCCATATCTAAATCACAACAAAAAAAGATTAATACAATCTCATCTAAAAAAAACAAAAAAAATTAACAGATCTGTATAAAAACTTTTTTTTTTTTTTTTTTTTTTTTTTTTTTTTTGAAATCCTTGGAGTTTTGAATGGTATTTGATATGGAACATGCTTACCTCTATCAAGGGAGTTCTTTGAACTTTTCTTCACCTCAGGAACTGGAGTCTCTGTTGAATTTAGATTCAAGAAAACAATTACAAACTTAAATATTAATAAAAACTCAGAGCCAGAAACAACAAATCACATAATCATGTTTTGTATTGCCTACCTTTCTTCATTAGAGACATAGCAGATTGAAATGGTGAAACTATAAGTTTCTAGTTCTTTCTCAATATGCTAATACTAAAATGCACAAAGAATATAGGTTCTTAATATGATGGGAGATTATGCTCCAACCTGTAAAGGCAACGTATTCTTTCCATACAGATTTTTTTTACTATTTTATGCAATAAGGACTAATTTGTGGGGTAACAACCACCACCTTTTTAGGTGTCGCATTATTGAAGCAAAATTTAAGTAAAAAAACTTTAGAAACAGAGAATTTATCCTTCTTTTCCAAAAGTTAGGGCATCAAACATATCTGTTTCGAACCCTTAGAAGCACCTTGTGGTTGCCATCGACATATGACAAAGCTACGGGTTATAACTATTGAATATTAGGTTCAATCAATTTGACAGAATGATTATCAAATTGTAGTTCTCTCTCAACCTGATTAAACATCAACTTAATTCAGTTATAGATGTTGAACCTGATTCTAAAAAATCGAGAATTCAGATTCAAAATTTTGACGGAATAATTATTGAATTAGAGATCTCGAGTAGTGTAAACTTGACACTAATTCAGCTGTAAAGCTGATTTTAAAATCGTAAACGATCAAACAAAAAAGCGCGACTCTAGATTCAACAATTTGACGGGATAGTTATAGAATTTATAATTCTTCGAACCTAATTCAACAATAACTGGTTAACCTAATTGAAGAATCGTAATTAATCAACAAAAAAGAAAAAGCGAGAACAAGAGTATACTTTCAGCAACGGCGACTGCCTTGGAATCATCGGCCTTTGTTTCAGGTACAGTTGGAGGATCCACAGGCTTCTCCGGTGCGACGTCAACAGGAGCCTCGACCTTCGCCGGTGCCAATTCCGGTTCGACCTTTGCAGGTAGCTCAGTTGCCATAAATAATAATTGAGCAAAATATCTGGCTCTAACTGTTAGTGGTGAGTGTGTATTTATCGGCGGTGATTAATGAATTGGGTGTATAGGCGGAGTATTATATGGGATGCGGAGGCCGTGTGTGAGCCGTTGAAATGGATAATGATGATCGGAGTATGGAGTAATAGTATCTGTCGCTTTGTATGCACTCTCACTCTGTGTTGTTGCCGACAGGTTAAACGGGTAAATCACGCGGATTAACTCGCCCTACCCACTGTTCCGTTCTACTTTAACTCGTTTTCCCTGTTTTTTCATTTTTATATCCGGCTTTACCGACATGAAACATTTTTTTTTTTTTTTTAAATTACTAAGCTTATATTTTAAGTTTTTTAAGTGTTTATATTTGACGATCTAAAATATGTTTTTATAAAATATATTTTTCAAACTATTTTGAATATTGTTGCAAAAGTTTATGATTTTTTTTTTATTTCTCTCAAAAATGCATTTCATTAATTATAAAAAGCTCATTCCACCATATTCATTCAGCCAAGGTGTAAAATGTGTACCATATTATCTAACCCGGGAAATTTATTCTTTTGGATGTTTAAAACACCACATTACATGATTAATAAAACGATGTATATATTTTAACCTTTTTGCAATAAGCTTTTTTAAATACAAATAGATAATTATTAGAGATATCAGATATGAATAATCTCTCTTTTTTTGGTACCAAGTTACCAACTACCATATAGGACTGGGTGATGTTCACGTCGGCACTGTCTAAGCCACAACCCTCTTCCCATCTTTACTTCATGCATACATACCGTCTATGACGATATAGGATCGTTTCTGCGTGGGTGGGTGGGTGTGTTGTAGGAAGGATGCGAAAGTGATAGTTTTGTTGTCTTAATTAATGTAACTTTATTAAAATATATGATAGTCGTAGTTGTAGAATAAGTTATTGCAATTGTGCCAAATTATTATTAATTTGTGTTGGTTGATATGAACAAATAATTAGAGAAAATATTAATTTTAATCAGAAATAAAACAATTAGGAATCTAAGATCAAGTTGTCAATTTAGTCGTGGTCATAGACTCCAACATGTCATCTCATCTTCACAAGAATAATGACCAAACACACCCATGTCTTCATCATGTATTCTCTTTTTTATTTTATTTAATCATATTTGTCCAAAATGATATATATATATATATATATATATATATATATTATATATATATATATATATATATATATATATAACCAAGCATACAATAATAATTGTTTCTTTTGATATGTGTGATATGTATCATTTATTTCCTCATGTCAAATAAGTTTTTTTTAGAACCGATATGTACTTATTATAATCTGCTTCTTAAATCTACTTATGTCTCCTACGAGATTTGAACCCTCAACTTTATAGAAGGAGAGCAACTCACCATAATGCTAGACCAAAAACATGTTGGTTCATGTCAAATAAGTGATAACTACATTTCCATTCCTTGTGTAACACATTTTTCTATATAAATTTGAAACACTACATATTTTCTAACGCGTATGGGTCTGCACCAATCGAGACCAAATTACCTTGGCCAGTTAGGCCTGAGCACACACTAGATTCGTCCTCATCCAGAGCAACAATCACCGAAAGACCGACAGTGACGGAGACAACAACAATCAATGCTAGTGTTATATCACACCATCTACTCTCCACCAGCTCCTTAAAAACCTTTTTGACTCTTCTTGATCCCCGTACAAACATGTGCTTTCAGTAGTACGAGCTCATACTACATTCTACACTTATCCGTACGTGTCCCAAGAATCGTCTCAAAGTTCCTAAGTCACTACAAACGACCACTGCAAACCGTTCTAATCACATATACCCACACCCAAACGAGTACATACTACTAATTTTCCTAGATTCTCCTTTTAGAATCTCTCCTACGTAAGTGCCCACACTAGCACATTCTAACATTCTTCCTAGGTCATTAGGAATTCCCACCCCACCCTGCTATCAGTTGCAGAAGAAACTTCTATCAGTGCCAACTAAATATCTTATGAATACAATTAAATGAAACAAGGATTAAACAGTCCTTCGACTGAAAGATCCTGCAATACAACGGTTGGACTCAGACAAGATCTACGCAATAGGGTCAAATCAAATATACTAAAACTATTTAATCTATGTGGCAAGAAACTTAACGTATTCACTTAATAGTTAACTAACATCAATATATGTTTCACATAGCACAAAACAAGCAGCAAAACCAACAGGCAATAAGGCATCATAAAGATCAGGCAATCCTAATACGCAATTTCTGAAGATGCTTAGCCTACACACTATCATGCATTTCTAACAACTCGCATATCACACACAAAAGACATATCTCCTAAGTAGGCACTCTAGCATGCAACCCTGAATAGATCCTTAGCCTAACTTATAACATGCACATCATACTATAACACATATAACAACAACTCAAATACAACATATAAAATGTAACACCCGCAGATCCGGGCTAATCAATTTAGAGACGATGAGCATCAAAAATGAGTTTTTGATGGAAGATTATTTAGTAGGATTAATATTAACCAAGTTGTAGTATATGTTACAAGGGTTCCATACATATAAAGAACATCGAAATCCGAGTTATAACGAAGAAGTTATGGCCCGTCGAAGTTTTACGGCAAAACCGGCACGACACCGGGAGACGTAAATAGTGAATTTACGGTAGAAGAGTTTTTAGCCTTAGTGATCTAAACAAAATTTGTAGTATACGTTAAACCGAGAACATACAAAAAAAGAACGCCCAAATCTGACTTCGTATGAGAGAGTTATGAATTTTCTAAGATTTGGCATAGTAGTGCACGACCCGAAACTCGAATTTTAGTTTGAGCGGTTTTTGGCCTACGCGGCCTAAATGAGAGTTGAATATCTCATTAATAGGAACTCAACGGTAAAAAGACAGACGAAAACGGAGTCCGTATGTAGAAGTTATGAATTTTACGCGGACATTTAACAATATAATCTCCTCCTACTGTTAAATTTAAGATCAGTCGAGAATTAGCTGACGGAGTCTAAATGAAAGTTTTAGATATTGTTTTTACCTACGCGTGGATATAAAGAATGTCGAGAGTAGAGCTCGTATGTTAAAGATATGGATGAAACTTGGTCCCTACTCTTCGAGCGCGATAAATTCGATACAGTTTTGTAAATCTGAGATAGAATAAGAATTAGCTGAGGGCGTCTAAATGAAAGTTGTAGTACTCATAAATACCAATGCGTGGATATAAATAACGTCAAAAATGGAGTTCGTATGAACGGGTTACAAATTATAATAACATATTTACGTATTAAAATAAAGTATAAATCATATATACGTACACATATATATATACAAATGTATATATCATTAGGAAGGTATCGACGATGCGGTTATTATAAGACTAGTGTTGAGTACTTTCGATATTAGTTTACTACAAATATCGTTAAATCTATTTAAAATAGTATTATGAAGAGTGTTTAGTCGTTTATATAACTATAAGGTCATTTAGTAATTATGAAGGGTAGTTTTTGTAAATTCAATTACTTTAAATAAGAGGTTTGAGTTCTCATATTTCTTGCATCATTCTCTTGATTCAAGAGTCTTTCTCTTCTTATCCCCCGAACATTTCGGTCCCTCGTGATTCGACTTCTCTTTCTGTAGTTTTAGTATAGTAAGGTGAGCGCTGAAGCGCTGCACGAATCTTTCTTAGAAAGATTCAGCGACGAAGTTCTGCCCCTGCAGAGCCCGACTTCTAGCTAAAACCCCCCTTGTAAGTAAGTTATGCTTACCTATTTTAATATAGCTTATATTTAAAATTAGTATTGTTATTATGAACTTATAATAAATATTTGAGATATTATTATGACTTATATAAGTGTCGTTATAATATTTTTTTAACTACTCGCGGTATGTGGAATCTGGTTTAAAGGGCCGCATAGGGTTGTTGGATTTCAGAAGTGCTATATGTCAAAATGGTCATGCCCTCCGGTGTTTTATGTCTGGCCCCTGTCTGTACATAGTGGTTGGAAAGTATTGTTTAAACATTTATATAATAATAATAATGATAAGACTAATAATTAGTCACGGTAAATATTAGACTAAAATCTAGTGGTAATAATACTAGGTTTCGTCGAAGAAAATTATTTTAAAGTAAACGAAGCGCTGTCCGAGTACCGAGTCACCACCTTATCAAGTGAGTGCATAGTCCCTTTCATGAACATGATTTTAATACAAGTATTGATTGAAGTATTAATTATATGTTTATGTGTGAGTTAATTGATGTTGCCTGAAATACGTGTTAAAGAACATACCTGATTATATATGATGATTTAGGATAAAGAGTAAACCTAAATTAATTATGAGGAATATTTGGTAGTATTTTCTTACGAGTACGAGGGAGTTATACTCAGAGAATAGAACTTTAGTATATGTCATTGATCCGAGAGCATGGATTTGACATAGTCATTGTCCTTAGTCCGAGAGTATGGATTGGACATAGTCAACTATCATTAATCCGGGAGTATGGATTAAGACATAGTCAATTGTCCTTATTCCGGGAGTATGGATTAAGGCATAGTCAGTTGTCCTTAGTCCGGGAGTATGGATTAAGACATAGTCAGTCATCCTCAGTCCGGGAGTATGGATAGGACATAGTTATTCGTCGTTAATCCGGGAGAATGGATTTACACATAGACACTTGTCCCTAATCCGAGAGTATGGAATGAGCACAATTATTGATCCGAGAGAATGAATTAGATCCGAAAGTATGGGTTAAGTGACAGGTAAAATTTAAGGTCCGAGAGTATGGATAGTCTCGTTGTTAGGATTAACGGGGTGGGGTAAGAGTTGCTTATATATATATATATATATATATATATATATATATATATATATATATGGTGAAATTGTATATTTTGTGAGTTCTAAATTATATATATGATATAACATTGTGGGATTGAAATCCCTGTGTACTCACCAGGTTTCCCAACCTGACCCACTTAAGCTTATTTGTATCACAGGTGTCGATACGAAGTTACATTACAATGAGAGATTAAAGAAATGTAGATCACTAGTGTAAATGAATGTAAGTTCTGTTTATGCTTATGTTTCTGTATTGACGATGACATCCCAATGTTTTGAAAAAGAATAAAAAAATACATTTCTTCGGAAATGTTTTGATAAAATTTTTATCATGTTTTTCTGGGAACAAATTCCACAGCATTTTTATTAAA